CCACCACGCGTCACCCTGGGTTTCTCTGCCTCGCTTGCTCCCGTCCCACGCAGCCCAGCTGGCTTCCTAGTGCTGCTGCTTAATTAAAACCAACTGGGTGGAAAGCGAGCAACGAGAGGCAGGGCCCGCGTGGTTTCCGACAGAGGAGCGGATGGAGCGGAGCCGTACATCCCTGGCTGCGTCACAGTCGGGACCCGGCACGTCCCCCTCGTACCCCCATGCCCCCCCCAGACTCACCGGCATACTCTGGGTCGACATGGGGAGGGTAAAACCCAAACTTGATGAAGATGGGGATGGGGACGCCAAACTTGAACCACTCCACAACATAAGGAGGGGGCTGCCCCGTGAGCGGGTGGATCACGTCGCATCCCAGGACCACGCTCTCGCCAGCGCGAGCGGTCACAAATTCGGGCTCCTCCCTTGAGCCGAGGGCACCTGCGAGGGGGCGAAGGAAGAAACTGTGGCTGATCCTGCTGCCAGACCCCAGCACTGGTGTTAGCTGGAGGACCAGGACCCCCGGCAGAGCCACAGTGGAGACGATGCCCGTCCCCAGCCGCCTGGCTCCAGCCAGGGCAGCCCCTGGGTCTCCCCTGCCCCAAAACCAAGGGGGGGTTCCCCAATTCCCTCCACCCAGCTCCAGGGCCACCCCAAGCCACCACAGGACTCAGGACGGTGGCCATCAGCTCCCGCTGCTCCAGGATGGCTTCCCACCCTCTGCGCCAGGGCAAGGGTGGTGCCCAGCGACCCCACGGGGGTTTTGGGGACCCCCTGCTCTCAGAGGGGGTGCACGGAGCATGCTCAGCACTGCTCCCCACCTAGCAGCACCATCAGGGCTGCCCCGCATCCCTGTGGTGGGGAAAGGGCTGCTTTTGCATCCCTGCTTATGCCCTGCATCCTCCAGTGAGCAGGACCGAGCGTGCAGGGACCACCGAGCTGCAGCTCTGGTGTGCCAGGCCAGGGATCCGGCTTTCCTGCAGGAGCTGTCCCAGAGCGGGCTGAGCCCCCGGAGCAGCGATGCTCCAGCCAAGCCCGCCCATCCTCAGGCATCCCTGAGAGCCCCAGGCCTGAAACCCAGCTGTGACCTGCATGTCGAGTCTGGCACCCTGCTCCTCCCACCCAGTCCCCAGCTGGGGTAATTAAACAGGGCTTTGGTCTCAGCCTCAGACGAAGGCACTGCTCCACCCCGGCTGTGCCTCCCCACTCAGCTGCAGCCTGTCGTCATCCTGCTCTCGCCATCAGCAGCAAAGCTGCATCCTCAGCACAGCTTTCAGAAAGGGAGAGGGAAAACCCAGGGCTAGAGGGAGCAAGGTGGCAGAAGCGATGCTCCAGCCAAGCCCGCCCGTCCTCGGGCATCCCTGAGAGCCCCAGGCCTGAAACCCAGCTGTGACCTGCATGTCGAGTCTGGCACCCTGCTCCTCCCACCCAGTCCCCAGCTGGGGTAATTAAACAGGGCTTTGGTCTCAGCCTCAGACGAAGGCACTGCTCCACCCCGGCTGTGCCTCCCCACTCAGCTGCAGCCTGTCGTCATCCTGCTCTCGCCATCAGCAGCAAAGCTGCATCCTCAGCACAGCTTTCAGAAAGGGAGAGGGAAAACCCAGGGCTAGAGGGAGCCAAGGTGGGGGGTCCCCAAAACTGCAGGCGCAGGGTTCATCCCCGCGTCTCCCTTCCCACCAAGGAAGGGCCCCCCCCCTCTTTTCTTGGCACACACAGCCGCCGCCTGCTCCAGGGGGGATGCTCAGGGAGGGATGCTCAGGGAAGCACGTTCCCACTCCTCCGCGCTGCTCCTCAGGGCCGCCGGTGATTGGCGGCGAGTGACATCACCGCTTCCCCGCCGCGGGAGCCAAGCATCACCGGCTATTTTTGGCTCCGGCACAAGCGCGTACCGGCAAGAGGCCCGTGCCGTGCCACCCCACAGGCTCACCAGCCGAGTGCCCCCATGGGAAGGGGAGCGGGCAGAGCCAGCTCTGCCGGCAGCCCCGGCCACAGCCGAAACACACACACACACACCCCCACTGCAAGGTGCAACGCTGCAGAGGAGCACAGCCCTACAGCCAACTGGGCATCCCCGGTCCCTGCAGCACTGGCAAGCCGGGCACTGGGGCTAGATGGCGGCTGTTTAACCGGGAGGGCTGGCTGGTGGCAGCAGGGAGGGCGATGCCGGGGTGCAAAGATGTGAACCATCTGCAAGGAGCAGACGCTGCACTGTACGCCCGCTGCAGGCACCCGGCCCCGCTACGGGAGTCCCGCACAGCCACGTACCTGCCTGGACCCCATCCGGGCCGGGGGAATGCTGTGCACACACATGCAATATGCATGCACAAGCGCACACCCCGCTCCCGCCTCCCACTTTGCACTGCCCTGACAACACTCTTGCACCTCTCTGTGCCTCATTATCGCTGCATCGCCGATAAGCTCAGGCAGTCGCACCCTGTCAGCGGGGACAGGGTCAGCCCTCCCCTGCTGCCCCGGCAAAGAGCTGCGAGGACCCATCCCGACCCCGCTGCACCCATCCGGGGGGGCTGCGCTGCAGGGCTGGGAACCCCCCTCCCTGCCCACGGGCCCCCTTGCGCTGATCGGGGACAGCAGCTGTCACGTGCTGCTCAAGAGCATCCAAGGACACACGCTTCCCTGGCCACCTTGCCCGAGCGAGCGGGTCCCCAGCACCTCACCACCTTCAAAGGGACAGTCCTGCCTTCCACCAGCAGCAGAGGATGGAGGGGGCAGCGCCCCAGCCCCTCCCCGAGCCCCCTGGCTGCTCCAGCCCACCAGCTCCTTGAGTACCAAGGTGGGATCTTGGTTTTCAGCTCCTCAACGCCAAATGGAGCCTGGGATGCTGATGCTTGCCCAGCTGGAGAAGCACGCTGCCCAAGAGGCCACCCAGATGCCCAAATGCCCCGGAGATGGGCGCCAGGGAGTCACACTCGCAGCCCTATGCCAGGATCCCCTGACTGCCTCCCCACCAAACTAGTGGGGGCGGCCCCCGGGGAGGGGACAAGCCAGCCGCTCCGCCGGACCCACGCCTGGCCAGAGCCGCCCGGGCATAGGAAAATAGGTCAGCCCCAGCAGCTCACAGCACCGGTGTCTGATCGCAAGGCCAGTGGGGAATTGCATGCACGGCTGAGCATCACCTCCCCATGCGCACATCCCCAGCCCCCGCCTCCCCCCAGCTGCCCCCCGCCCCCCGCCACCAGCCCCCGTGCCCTCCTGTCCCCGCTTCCAGAGACAGCAGGAAAGCAGTGGGGAGATGTTTTACAGACACCCCCCCTTGGGTGTCCCCAACTTCCCAACCCACTAACCCTGCGCTCCCAGCCCCGAACAGGTTTTCCTTCCAAGTCCCAGCCGCTGAAGGCATGCGAGCGATGGAGACTGCAGCTCTCAAAGAAGTGTTTCTCACCCCCACATTTGTAGGGAAACGCTTGAAAACAACCCACAGATGCCAGAAGAAACAGAGTGCAAACAGACAGGGTATTTTTAAACCCACTTGACTTTCCCAGCCAAGTTCAGAGGGGTTTCAAGGTTTAACCTGCAGTTTGGAAATAGGGTCAACAGCAGGGAGCCACAGCGGGGACGCAAACCCCAAATCCCCCCTCAGTACGGGAGCTCATGCGAAGCTTGGGGATGCCTCAAAGAAATATAAGTAATCAACAGCCTTCGTCATCCAAGCAGATCCAGGAAAAATAAAAGCACGCCGTGTGCCAGGAGGCAAGAATACAAGATGCGGAGGTGGAGTTGAACAGCATCCCAAAAGGAAAGGAGGGAAGACTGCCACCGCGTAGAGACGGTGCCACCGTGGGGCTCCCCAGGATGGCGATGCCGAGGCTGGGAAGACCCTGGCCCAGGTCTGGGCATCCAGTTCGTCCCATCCCAAGAGCAGAGACGTAAGGCGACATGGGACTTGGTGAAGCTGGGGGTATCCAGCATCTCAGGTGCACTCACTGAAGCAGGACCCTTCCTGCAGATACTTCGTGAAAAGGACGCGGCCGTGGCAGAGCGGGTTTCCAAATGAAATAGCCCTGCACCTCAGCTTGCAGTGGGGATAAACACCAATCCCAAGGGATGATGGCGAAGAGCCCGGGAAGGCTGCCCTGCCCAGCAGACACCCATGCCTTGGGGTCAGAAAGGGGACCCCGTCCTGACCCCCCCACCCCAGGTGCTCATCCCCATCCCTGTCCCCCCATGGGGATGGCCAAGTGAGCAGGCGCACGGCCCCGAGCCCATGGACCTCTCCTCCCTGCCGAGCAGAGAAAAGATCTGCTCTGACACATCCCGCTCACATCGGTGGAGGCGGGATACGGCAGGGATCTCTGAGGACAAGGCCACCGGCGTGGCATATGGAGGCCGGCAGGGAAGGAGAGCAGGCAGCCAGCACCACGAAACAAGGGCAGCAACCACAGCCTGACACCACC